AATTCTAATTTTTACAAAATTACAATTTTATTAAAGTTTCCACAGGAACTAATGTAATTTGTAATTATAAAAGAATTAATTTTTTTTTCTTTTAATAATATTTAAAAACATAAAATAATTCAGTTTTATTCTAAAAATTTTATATATTAAAACACTTTTTTAAAATAGAATTTTTAGAAATTTTTTGTTGTTATTTTTTTTTTTATAAATAAAAATACAAATTGCCATAATTTTCCATAGGAACTGATGTAATTTATAATCACAAAAAGATCATTTTTAAGCATATTTTAAAAATAAAACTAATTAAAAGGTTACTTATAAAAATTTTTATAAGTTTTTAAAATTGTTTTTTTTTAAATATAATTATAAATAAACTTTCTTTTAAATGTACCTAAAACAAAATGAATTATTTATTTTTTTTAATTTTTATGTATTTAAATATGCTTCCAAGATTTGAAAAATGATTTTATTTTTGAACTTTTACAAAAGCAAAGTCATGGTAAACTGTGCAAATTTGTAATTTAAAAAAAAACACACAGAATAAAGAATTGTTTTTTTTTTTCTAAAAATTCCATGAAGTTTTTAGGAATTTTTTCTGAATTTTTAGAAACAAAAGTACAATCTCATAGTCTTAGTAAATCAAAATAAAGGTTCTACCCATACCCTTCAAATCCTAGCAAAAGTACAAAGTCCTAATAAATTGTGCAAATTTATAATTTAAAAAACAAGCTAAAGAATTAATTTTCTTTCTAAAAATTTCATGAATTTTTAAAAATTCTTCATGACTTTATATATATATATATAAAAAGTACAACTTCTTATTCCTAGTAAATCAAACTAACAAAGTTCTAAGGTCCTAACAAAGTCAAATTTTAACAAAAATACACAAAACCCTAGTAAATTAAGAAAATTTATAATTTAAAAAAGAGAATAAAAAGAATTAATTTTCTTTCTAAAAAAAATAATTTATTTTTCCTGATTTTTTTCCAAATAAAAGTATAACTTTCTTATAACATTTCAGTGAGAATGTAATTTTATAATTATAAATAATATATTTTCTGGAATATTTTCAAAGTTAGGACATAACAATGATTGATTTTTAAATAAAAAAAAATATATATATTAAAATTTAGAAAATAATATCAAAAATTTGCTTGTAAAATTGATATTTAAACATAGCATTCTAATAATTTGCAACAGATCATATAACAGTTTAATCCAACGTTGACATAACTTAGAGATTGTAGGGACAGATTCCAAACCTGCCACATATTATTGTACACTAAAGCTCCCGTTGCTAAGCAACCGGTCCAATGACAGAATGTGATGTCTTGCAAATCAAATACACTCCTTGACATCTACCTATCCTCTCGAAAATCCGCTCTAAAGCGAATGAAATTGGAAAAATCTGTAAACTGATAGCTTGACTTTTTTTTCCCTTGTTTTTTTCTAGTTTTTTTTTACACTTTCTTTTTTTTTTAGTTTTGATTTAATTTTAAATTATCTGCAAATTACTTTAATGACTCGCTTCATTTAAAAGAATGCTGCGCTTTAAGAGCTATTTTTTTTATAAGTTAAAATTGCATTTTTTAAGTATATAGTAGGGAATTTTTTAAAAAAATTTTATTGATTAATTCTGTTTAAAATGTATTAGATATTAGATTAAATATTAGGTGTTAAAAAAATAAATATATGTAATTTATTTTTTTAAAGTATGTTTAAGTATTTATGAATTTATCCTAATTTTTCTTTGATAATTAATTTATTGACTCCTGTATTTCTCTCTCTTAAAGATTAATTTTTGGTTTAATTCTTTTTTATGAGTAGATTTTTTTTCGTTAATCTTAATCCTTGGCTTATCGTCTTCATATTAATTTTCTCAATGATTATTAATTTCGTTGCCATTTCCTTAGTGACGAGTACCGAGA